CAACGATGTGGTTGGAACTAGAGGGTATTATGCTTAGTGAAATAAGTCAATCGGAGAAAGACAACTATCATATGATCTCCCTGATATGAGGAAGTGGAGATGCAACGTGTGGGGTTTGGGGAGTAGGAAAAGAATAAATGAAACAAGATGGGATCGGGAGGGAAACAAACCGTAAGAGACTCTTAATCTCACAAAACAAACTGAGGGTTCCTGGGGGGAGGGGGGATCGGGCCAGGGTGGTGGGGTTATGGGTATTGGGGAGGGTATGTGCTATGGTGAGTGCTGTGAAGTGTGTAAACCTGGTGATTCACAGACCTTTATCCCTGGGGCTAATAATACATTATATGTTTATAAAAAAATAAAAATAAATAAAAAAAATCAAAAAGGAGGAGATAAAAAGACTTAGAGCTACACGGGTCCACATGGGGACTGGCCAGCACCCACGATTTGGGTCCCAACACAAATGGCCAAAGAAGCCAGTTCCAAAAAGACATGTAGCAAAGGATGCCAGTGCTCTGAATATCCAAGCACAGGCAAAATCCTAAGGACAGAAAGGAGAAGTGGGAGGGCGGCAGGTACAGTGAAGGGACCCTGGAAATGTGTCCTGGATCCAGCGATTCAGTTGGGCAAGTGAGATGCTTGGACATGGAGGACACTGATGGGTCCACAACAGCGTGAATGTACTTGATGCCAGGAGAAAAGATGCCTCATAGGATCTGAACAGGAAATTCTAGTTGAGGAGAAACAGGCATCCAGGGGCATGTGGGTGATCAGTCCTTTAAGCACTGGACTCTTGATTTCAGCTCAGGACATGATCAAGCCCTGATCCGGAGCTGCAATGGACCTAGAGCCTATCTAAGATTTTCTCTCTGCCTCTCTCCCTCCTCCCCCAACCTGTGCTTTCATTTTCACTCTCTCTCTGGCTCTAAAAAAAAGAAAAGAAAAGAAAAGAAAAGAATAGAAAAAGATGGGGTCCCTGATCAACGGAACGAGACTGATACAAAGCGAAGGTTAAGCAAAGCTTTATTTTTACACCAGGCATCAGAAATCAGACTGACTGGTCAGGGCCGCCTTGGAAGAGAGTGACCCTGCCCCGATCTTACAAGCTAGTTTTAGAGGGCATAACCGCAGATCTCAAGGTACGTGGCTTCTATTGTTAGGGCATTTATTCCTGGAATTGATTCCCAGAATCCATACGGAACCCATACCAGGAACTGCTGGGCTGTTTATCCCCGGAATGAAGTCCGTGGATGTAAACAACAATATGGCTACCTAGGCAATATGGAGTCACTCTGGCTAAGCAGGCCCTAATAGTTAAATAGGTTTTAACATTAAATCGGCCCTAACAGAGAAGAAAAGAAACAGGCATGCATTCAAATCTTTGTTATTTGTACAAAATGTATGTATTCTGAAAAGCATATCCACACATACACATGGTATATAATGCATGAAAATGCTGGACAAGAAGGGATACTTCACTGGGTCCCGCCTACTGACAGGAAAGAGGATTGGATTGGTGGGTGTCAAGTGCCTGAAAGGTCACGTGATGTTGGGCCAGTAGAAAAGTCAGGGAGGGAGGAAGTGGCCCTTTCTGACACAGAGGATCCTCCAGCAGAGTCCCTCTGCAAACTTTTAAGCCTCTACTGAGAGATAGGAGGAGCACCGCTGCATTTCAGGTGGGTTTTGGGACAACTGGGTCCTCAGTTCAGCTGTCAGAGAAATAAGACAGGGAGGAAATTATGGAGGGATGTAGCTTACCTCATTGGGTTAAGCACACTTTCATTGGAAAGCATTTTCCGAGAAGAGAGACTGGTCAAAAACAGTCCTCGTGACTCCCCGAGGTTGTAATTCTAAGGGAAGTTTGCCCCACAGTCTGATGGGTGTGGGATCATGGAAGTGCTGTGACAAAATCCTGTTCCATTTGGCTGTGGGCACTGAAAGCCTAAAGAAGAAACTTGTTCCCAAGATGTGGAAAGATCCTCATTTCCAATGGATTAGAAGTTAGGTAAGAAAGGGACTCTGAGAAAAGAACATTAAAAAAGAGATTACAGGGGCGCCTGGGTGGCTCAGTTGTTAAGCTTCTGCTGTTGGCTCCGATCACGAACCCAGGGTTCTGGGATCGAGCCTTGCATCAGCTGTCTTCTTCTCCCTCTCTCTCTGCTTGTGTTCCCTCTCTCGCTGTGTCTCTCAAGAAGAGATTACAGAAACCCAGATGGGCAGCTTCCAATCTAGTAGAGGAGAAAGTAGGCTTTGAAAAATCACTTTGTAGTTGAAAATGGCTTCCTGGTGCGTCAAATGGGAAACTCAGATTTTGAGAGGAAAGCATAGGTTCTTTCCCGTATTCAACTCTGTGTACCCCATGTTGTATTGCCATAGCATGGATTCTTGTGTGTTCATTGGGGCAGTGGCTGGTGCCACTGGGTATGAGTTGAGGCCAGTTGGAGCATGAGAGGATATGGAAGGCATGTGAGTCTGGGTGGGGCAGGGTAAGGATGAAGAAGAGCCTACAGGTGGGGCAGTGGCAGGGGTCCCATGAGACTGGGTGTGGCCAGGAGGAGGCTGGAGGAAGCTCTGGTAGGACTGGAAGCTACCAGGCTGGGAGTGGACCATGGCCTTAGAAAGGTCCATTCAAGATCCATTCTCTGTGCAAGACACACCAATATTAGAGATGGGATCCGTGATCAAAGGAGCAAGACTGATACAAAGTGAAGGTTAAGCAGAGTTTTAGTTTGCACCAAGCATTGAGAATCAAACCGACCGGTCAGGGCCGTCTCTTACGGAGACAGCGACCTCTTCCCAGCTTCACAGACTAACTTTTATAGAGCACAGGTGGTCAAGGAGATTATAACACACACCGAAAGTTGCGTAGTCATGTTAGGCCACACCCAGGTGGCCAATTGAATTACAATTTACCCTATAGTAACTCTTTGAACTAGTCTAGCATTCTCGTCAGCATTGGCGCCCAGGTTTGGTGTCCAAAGGGCAGGGTTTACATTCTTTGGTAGTTAGGGAGGTTGAGTTTTAGTTGAGTGCCGCTTATTGATGTTCCGGGAACTCTAGTTCCGTTTGTTGATGTTCCGGGAGCTCTGAGTCATTAATTTTTCTTTGGTAAAGAACAAAATGGCCACTCAACCAATATGGAGTCTCTTAGGCTAAGTGGGCCCCAACACTTAGAGTGGGAAACTACCCAGAGGGCCAATAGGATTGGAAATGGAGGCCCTCCTCTTGGGCTAGTGGTAGTGGTACTTGTTGGACTGTTTTGGAAGAAAGATGCTCTCTTGGATTTCAGTCAGGAAGGCCCAGGTGATAGGAATCCAGCCTTCTATCCCCCATTCTCTTTGAAGAATCCCTAGGACAGGGGCACCTACGTGGCTCATTCACTTAAGTGGCTGACACTTCATTTCAGATCATGTCTTGATCTCAGGGTTCTGGGATCCAGCCCCACACTGGGCTCCACGATCGGGGGGATTCTGCTTACAGATTCTCTCTCTCCCTCTCCCCCTGCCCTTAATCCCTTCTCACCTGGCCCCTGCTCTCTCTCTCTCTCTCTCTCTCTCTCATTCAAAACAAAACAAAACAAAACAAAATGAAGCAGTTATAGCCACCAATGTGTAATTTTCTTAGAGAAAAGGAGTATACTGAAAAGATGATACGTGTATGATAAGATTTTCCCATGCCTGAAAATGCTCCACAAGAAGGCATTGTTGATTGGGTCTGCCCTGTTAACAAGAAAGAGGATTCGATTGATGGGTGTTAAGTGCCTGAAAGGTCACTTGACCTCAGGGCTATAGGAAAGTCAGGGAGGGAAGGAAGTGGCCCTTTCTGACCATTCCTTTGGCATGCCAGACACACAGTCTCCTCCAGTAGAGTCTGTCCAGTACCTTCCTGAGCCTCTACGGAGAGACAGGAGGAGCACCATTGCATTTCAGGTGGGTTTTTGGACCACTGGGTCCTTATCTTAGCAGCTAGAGAAATAGGACAGTGAGGAAATTATGGGGTGATGTGCCTTTCTCAATGAACCAAAGACTGGCTCCTGTGAAACCATATTCTGAGAAGAGAGACTGATCAAAGGCATGACTGCCAATGCTCTCGACTCCCTGAGATTCCACTTCCAAAGGAACTGACCCCAACAGTCTGATTGGAGTGGGGTCATGGAGGTGTTGTGACAGAATCCTGGTCCATTTCGCTGTGGGACTGGGAGCCTAAAGAAGTCACAGGTTCAGGGCACCTGGCTGGCTGAGTTGGTTGTCTGACTTTGTCTCAGGTCATGATTCCAGGGTCCTGGGATGGAGCCCCTCATTGGGCTCCCTGCTCATCAGGTAGTCTGCTTGTCCCTCTGCCCTTACCTCACCTCGAGCTTTCTCTCTCTCTCTCTCTTAATAAAGAAAACATTAAAAATGAAAAAAAAAATCCCTGGTTCACATAAAGTTAAAAGCTATTCATTTCCCAAGGATTAGATGAGAGTTAAGAATGGGGCACTGAAAAGAAAACATGAAATCAAAGAGTTCAGACCCTTAGATGGGCCACTTCCCTCATTCCCTCAAGAGAAGTGATGTTTTTCAAGGGATCTTATAGTTGAAAATGGCTTCCTCAGGTGTCAGTGGGGAAATGGAGAGTTTGGAGAGGAAAGGATACCTGCTTTTCCATTTTCAACTCTGAGTGTCCCATGGAGTTTGACATAGCTTTGATTCTTGTGTAAATCGGGGGCAGTCCTGTCCCTGGTTTTGCTTCCAGAGTGCATTGTGAGAGAATTCACAAGCACCTCTCTGGTAAGTCATTCAAGGCAACTTCACCTGCTTTTCCTAAGGGCACCATCCTGGGGGTGGGTAGGCAGGAGAGTATGGAGGACAGGAAGGGATGAGAGGTCATAGGGTGACAACTATGTTTGATCTGGTGGTCCTGAGGCCCCCTCATACCTACTTGGAGAAGAAGGGACAGGAAAGAGGCTTGCATCTGTGTGAATACAACTCTCCTTTTTTTTTTTTTTTTTTTTGACTCAGGACATCCAGACACCCACCCCCGAGGCAGGCTGGCCAACTGCCAAGTCCCTCAAGGAAGTAGGACAGATGGCGGGCAGTCACACCCAGCTTGAGCCCTACAGACCCTTGAAGGCCCAGAAAGGGAAGAGGACACCGAGGGCGCCCTTAGCACCCAGGGCTCCTGGGCCAGAGGAGGAGGATCCCAGGGTAAGTGGAGGCCGGCATGTGCTGTGAGCAGGTGGTCTGCCATGACTCTGGAGACAGGCGTGGCGCATGGAGAGCTCTGTGTCCATAACTCAGTTTCCTTTCCTGGGCCAGGACTACCTGCCCTGGAATCTCATCACCAGACATAGTGGGGCATTCAGACACAGCGAGCGTCTACCTCAGGAGTGTACAGGCTTCGGTCCAGGCTGGTGTTTGTCCACGTCTCTCCAGAGGGCTCCTTCATTTCAGCCTGACCCTTGTGATCCCTCCTCCATGTCCCTCCTGGAGAGGCCGGGGAAGCATCTCATGGTCTTCAGGAGGCTGGCACCTCACAAGCCGAGGTGATGTCCCCTGTCCAAAACCACTGATCCTTCTTTCTTCTTCCCCAGGTGAAGTGCAGGGACTGTGGAGCTTTTGGGCACAAGGCATCCAGCAGCAGGTGCCCCATGAAGCACTGGGGCAGGGCCCTCGACCTCCAGGCTTTGGGCTTCAGGAAGCTGAAGGAGAACGTAGAACCACGGAGTCAGCAGGACCAGGAGAACCCTGGGACCTTGAAGCAGGCTGAGAGGAAGAAGGAAGAGGGACCAAGGTGGGGAGCGGGTCTCGCTGCTGTCCCCAATCCCAGGGCTGACGTCTAAGGACACTGTGTCTCTGCCCCTGGTAACTGTGTGCTGTGCTGTCCTGACTCACAGACAGGGGTGGGGAGGCCGACAAAGGAGCTCTGAGCTCCTGAGCTGCCCTTGCTGAATCGGCGAGAGTGTGTGAGTGGTGGGGTGGGTGTCCCCTTACCAGGGGACATATGGGAACCTGGCTATTGCCAAGCAGACCTGCCAGAGACCCCAAATGCTAGTAGTTCCTAGGCAAACCTGGAGGGCTCCCTGGAGTAGGGGGAAGAATGGCAGGGGAGGGAAAGGACACTGCTGTCTGAGGCCTCAGGCTGGTGTCCCAGTTTGAAGACTTGAAACTGAGTTCCTTCCACTTCCTACGCTTTGTTGTGCAGGCAAGAAGCCCGGCAGAGGGAGGCCCTGCTCCAGAGATTCCCCAGGCGACCCCAAAGGGGGCAGAAGCAAACCTGGAAGGATTGCATAGAACCCTGTAGCTACGTGAGGGTGAGTGTCCCCTGCTTCCTGGCTCCTGTTCTGTCTGGTGGACCCTGATGGGCTTTGTTGCCTTTCTGGGTGAGGATTGACCCAACTTCCGTTCTGAGCCATGTGAGTTCGGGGGGGCATCCTCCTCCCCCATTTTCCCTTGCTGTCCATCATGGTGCCTTATTCCTGGGATGTGTGTGCACAGTGGGCTGGGTGGGAGGGAAAGCACTGGAGGACACTCTTCTCACACGTAGAACCCTCGATGGAAGAACAGGGAACTTTGCTTTGGGACACGTTCTCCCACATTGTCCATCAAAACTCAATAGCCTCTGAAGTGACTCCACAGCGGCAGGATTCCTGTGCTCTCCGGAGCCCAGTGGATGGTCTGCTGGGGCAACCGTAGATTTTTTTGCAGAAGCTTTCTCTGTTCCTCCCCGATAGATAAAGGGTATCCAGGAGGTCCTGTCGAGTATTTATTCCTGACCACCCCTGAGCTATGGTCCCACCTCCTATGTAGACAGAACCCATTCCTGTCTTCCACTGCTGAACTGAACATGTGAAGGTCTTGGGCTTTTGTGACTTTCTTGGTTTTCCTTCATGGCAATGTTGCCTTGGTGGTGAGGAAAAACTAATGTGCATTTCTGTGTGTTCCTTTTCTCACAGCGTCCACACACGCCGATGCCCGTCTATACCACCAAGAGGGTGCCTGTCCTGGAGGCTCCCCTCCCAGGGAAGCCGCCTACCCAAACCGCTGGCACGAGAGCCGTGTACCACTCAGCGGCTCCTCTCAGAAGCCCTTCAGGGATCGTCGTCCCCCCTGGTGCACGACATGAGGTACAGCGAGTGGTGTCCCCTGACAGACTCCTGGCATGCCAACCCTATGCCAGGGAGAGTGGCCTGACTGTCCATCTGACAGCAAAGAGGCCCCGAGAAGACTCCCTTGAAGTTTCCCAAGCTGTGTCCAAGGTGGATGGCGTGCAGCATGGCCAGGCACCAGCCAAGGGTCCCGAGCAGAATGCACGTCCTAATGCAAGCCACGGTATGGTTCAGACTTCCCAAAACCACCTCAAGACAGCAGGCAAGAGAGGTGTTCAGGTCTCTCTAGAGACGGGCCTGAACCCCCGAAAGAAAGCACGCTGTAGCCCCTTCCAGTACCACCACAAGAGGATACAGGAAAGCCATCTGGGGGCTTCAGAGAGTCTGTGTCGTCCAGCAAGGAGAAGTGCATATGGACCCCCAGCGGCACCCCCACTGACCAGGAAGACACCTGCTCCAGTGCGAGTCATCGACCTGCAGCCTGCCTGCCCCCGACCTCTCCTGGAAACGGTCCAGGCATGCATAGACGCCCCACGTCCGCTTTCCAAGCCCACCCCTGGCAAGTCCCTGAGAATGGTCTTCACGAGATTGGACAAAGCCTGCTGGAGCTCCAAGTTCCTAACACCTCCCTTGCTCCATCCTGCTGAGAAGTCAGCCCCTCCTGGTCAGGGCCCTCCTGTCATTCAGAAATCCGAGGGATTCTTTGGTCACGTCCCTGTGAGTGTCCTCCATGAGGACCTGCAGGTGTCCTCGTCCTCTGAAGACAGTGGGAGAGAGTGAGACAGCCCATGGCCTCAGAGACTTGTCCTCCAGCCCAGGGGATCCTGAGGAGGTGTCTGTTGAATGGAGGACAAGTCACAGTCCTGGGCTGGTGTGTGGAATCGGCACTTCCTCAGCTGCATTGGATGGAAACGGTGGAGTCCACATCATGTTGGGCGTCCTGCTTTTCGGGAGCGTGCACATGCAACCCAAACACACACTCACACACACACAAACACCCATCATGTAAATAGATGTGACATTTCAAAAGGTACTTACCCCACCTGGGATGTCAAACTTGCTTTATTTAAAGACATTCTCTATGAAATTGAGTGAAATGATGCTGATAAATGGTAAACTCAAATGTAAATTTAACCTAGGACCTAAACCTGTATTTGGTCTACAAATATCTGAATTGGGAGATTCTGGATAATGGCCCCACCTGCAAAGGGTGCTCTGCAAAGAATGACACAGTGTTTTCTCCGGAGATGAGATTTTCTTGACTCTGTGATGTGATTTTTGTGGAAATTGTCCTGGGGAATATTTTACCTGGTTTGCTCCTTTTCGTGATTAAATGTTATTCCAAATTGTGTGTAGGTGATTTATCCTTAATAAAATTTCCCCAACTATGACTTAATGTGCATGTTTTTTTTTCTCAGTATTTCAGATCCTTTCTGTAATGATTTTAATTCCTCAAAGCTTGATTACCTAAGAGGAAAGAGGAGGTTGGTAAGACCTAGGGCTTCTTAGACACTGAGGATCTCGGGCACACCCCGCTCTCCTGCATGAATCGATACCTAGACCACATAGTTCCCCCTGCTCCCTGTGTATGTGCCACATGCACTGCATGAGGCCTCAGTCCCACTTTAGTGTCTCATGGGATCAGGTGGTCAGTTTTCCTATATTCATATTCTGGAATCCCCCTCGCAGTAATGGATACTTTTGTTGCCTTTCTGAGGGCTGGACATTGGGATTTACTGCCCTCCAGATGATTTCCTTAGGCAGCAACATTTGACAACCCGGGAGGTGGTGGTCAAAATATCACCAGTCCCAGGCTCTGGTTCCTCTCTCCCTCAGGAGAATCTCTGATGAGGAACAAGGGAACAAACCCACAGGTCTGTAGAGAGATTTCTTTCTTGGGAAGTGCCACTGAATGCTCCTGCCTCCCTACAGAGCACCTGTTTGGGGAATGCTCCCCCCTCTCTCTGCAGATCTCTGCAGTTGGAATGCAGGGGAACTACTGGTTGAGCACACAAGGTCATTGATCCTCAGAGGGAAGTACAGAAGCCATAGTGTGGGACACCCCAAACCCTCCATACCTGTCATCCATGTGATGCAGTCTTTGTATAACCCGGACCAGAGTCTGGTTGCTTCAGCCTGAGGCTCCTGTCTCATGCCCTGTCTCATGGACTCTGACGAAAACATAGCATCATGGCTCTTGATTTCTGACAATTCAAGGAGTACAGGAACAAACCAAATCATTTCCTGCTTTCTGGAATCCTGTGGGGATCACAGGCGTCAAAGAATAGGTCCTGTGACAGATGGAGCTCTGGGACTGGATCTACGGAGGTAGACTACATGTTCTAGGCTCTGCCAGTCCAGGGCATAGGGGTGAGGAGGTAGACAGCCTGGACCCAGGGGCATGGATGCCGGGTTCTCTGGCTGGACGATGATGCCATTGGCAGTGGATGGGATTCCTTCAAGGGGCCCAGCGATACCAGTGCAAAAGCTCAGTTGAATAAGTCCGTCTGAGGGCTGTTCTCTTCTCTCTCATAGCCTCTGCTGACTTTCTGCTTCCCTTGTGTCAACCAACCAAACAAAACCCATCTTCCCAAATGTCAATCCAGTCTAGTCCAGATATATGGACTAAGAAACAGTTAAACATTTGACACAGTGGTATGGGTTTTGGGAATACCAGCAGGGTGCCCTCACGTGGAGTCATCCTGGAGTCATTTTGGTGGCAGGGATAGTAGGATTGTTATTAATGCAATTGAAAGGCGGTGTATCCTTTTTTAATGTCTATTTAATAAAAATTGTATTTAATAACTTAAAATTTATTTATTTTTTAAAATTTTTTATTTAATAAAATTTTTGCATATATGACATCATGTGCATGGGTTTTATTTCTCAGCATTGAAGATCCTTTAAATATTTATTTTTTTTCCTTACAGATTTATTATCTGAGAGGAGAATGATAGGATCTAGCCATTCTTAGACATTCAGAATCTCAGGCATAACTGGCTCCTGTGCCTTTACATCCATATTAAAAATAGTCCTGGGGCACCTGGGTGGCTCAGTGGGTTAAAGCCTCTGCCTTCGGCTCAGGTCATGATCTCAGGGTCCTGGGATGGAGCCCTGCATTGGGCTCTCTGCTCAGCGGGGAGCCTGCTTCCTCCTCTCTCTCTGCCTGCCTCTCTGCCTACTTGTGATTTCTGTCTGTCAAATACATAAAATCTTAATTTAAAAAAATAGTCCCCTGAACACCCCGTATGCCTCACTGTGTAAGGCATGCAGCTTGCATTTCACTTTGGCCCATGTTGGGATTAGTTGTCGAGTTTTAATATATCTATATGCTGGAAATCTACTTGAAGAAATGGACATTTTGCTGCCTTTCTGAGACATGAGCATTTGGATGTACTGCCCTGCAGGTGACTTTATAAAGCAACAATGTTTGACAGTCTGGACAAGTGGTGGTCAAAATACGACCTTATTCCCAAGTTATGGTTCTTTTCTCACCCAGGTAATACCCAAATCTTGTAGAGAGAATTTCTTAAGAAGAACAAATGAGTACTCCTTCCTCCCTACAGAGGATCTGTTTGGGGAATGCTTCCTTCTCTCTCTGGAGCTCCCTGTAGTTGGAGTGCAGGGGGAACTGGTTGAGAACACAACCAGTCATTAATAGTAAGAGAGAAGAACAGAAACCATGCTGTGGGACACCCCCACACCCTCTGTAACTCCCATCCATGCATTCTTTGTATGGGAGGCTGCTCCCTTCTCCCCTAGGTTCCTGAAGGGTGTCCTGCCCACTGCCCCATTAGTGTCTTATGCCTTCTGACAAAAACACAGTAAAAGAGTTCTTTATGTAATATTGATTTTATATGTTATTTTTTCACTGTTTATTTTTCATTTTATTTTTCTTGTTTTATGCCTCTGTTTTACAAAGTTAACCTCACTGACATTTTATAATGTACTTATTCTATATTTATAATGTATTGATTATTAACCATGATCAATTTTATAAGTTTCCTCAAAGGGATTGATATATACACAATGCCAAATATCTTCTGTAAGACACTATGAAAGATCAACCATTATGACAAAGATATTTTGAATTTACGATGCTCACAGAAGCTGTCAGACAATATTAATATCTTATTTAATATCATACACAAGACAAGGAAGCATTAAGGAGAGCAAGAAATCTCATTGTACTCCTAATTTCTGTCAAACTTGGGGAGTCATATTTGGAATGATGAAATTAAATGTAGAATACTCTTCTTGCTTGAAATTTATGAAGACAAAATGATGCACTATCTGATAACTGAAATGAAACTTTTGTTTTTTGAAACAATGATGTTCTAGCATAGCTGGTCATTTTGTTATCCTGAGTAATCCACACACAGGCTAAAGAAATTAATCTCACATCAAAAACTTATGAAGTACTGGGACACCTGGGTGGCTCAGTGGGTTAAAGCCTCTGCCTTCTGCTCAGGTCATGATTTGAAGGTCCTAGGATCGAACCCCGCATCGGGCTCTCTGCTTAGCGGGGAGACTGCTTCCCCCTCTCTCTCTCTGTCTGCATCTCTGCCTGCTTGTGATCTTTGTCTGTCAAATAAATAAATAAAATCTTAAAAAAAAAACTTATGAAGTACTATATGCTGACTAACTGAACATATTTAAAAAAAAAAGAAATAAACTAACCTCTTGTCATTTTCTTTAAATGTAAATGAAATATGTGTTATTGGCTACAAAATTGATGGAGTAGGAAAAAATTCTGGAAAACCATTTGTCTTTTTTTTTTAAGATTTTAAAAATTTATTTGACAGACAGAGATCAGAAGTAGGCAGAGAGGCAGGCAGATAGAGAGGGGGAAGCAGGCTCCCTTCTGAGCAGAGAGCCCGATGCAGGGCTCGATCCCAGGACCCTGGGATCATGACCTGAGCCAAAGGCAGAGGCTTTAACCCACTGAGCCACCCAGGTGCCCCTTGTCTTTCTGACATAACACTTACACATTGGGTGTTATACTGAACAGATGAATCATTGAACATTTTATCAAAAACCTATGATGTACTATACATTGGCTAATTGAATTTAAATAAATTAAAAAAACAACAAACAAGCACTTACATTAGTTAATGAATATGTATGTGTGTTAATGTATATGTATGTAGTTAATGTATATGTATGTGTAATGTATATGTATGAATGTATATGTATATGTTCATAATGTATATGTATGTGCACACACACACCAGTTTTCCAGGGAGGAGGGTCTACCTGGAATAAATTAGAGTCAGGAATTATGCCTATCCCCTATCACCTGACCTCTGAAACTCCAACTACAGTGAACATCAAGGTTTACAGCATTTTCTCAGCCTTGACCGCCTTGTCACTCTTCCTGCCATCATCTCTACCTTACAACATTCATGTCTGGACTCCAGCTGTGGTTCTGAGTCTGGGGCTGTTGATTTGTTCCTGAATGGGTCCCTCTCTATCCTGTAACTGTGTCAGTAGTTCTGGCCTACCGCCATTTCTTAAAACTATCCATCCTCCACACCCTGGGGTCTATGAACTGCAGATCAAAGAAGACTGACCCCATACAAAAAATTCCAAATTAGGTTGCTATCTATGTTATACACTTACCTTATTAACTCATGTGATATTTATAAAAGTCCTGATGGGGGGGGATTTCCTATGTTTCTCGGTTCCTTTGATTTCCCAGAAATGATGTTCTAGTCCAGCTAGTGTTGCTGACTGTGTCACAGTAATGGGGCAGATTGTAGGCCATGGGACAAGAGCTC